TCCCTCTCCCTTCCTCTCTGTAAAAAAATCAATAAAATCAATTAAAAGCCTTACAAAAATAGAATAAATAAATAAACAACATTTTACAGATCAGCAATACTGGAACAAAAACAGAAGAAAAAAGGAAATCTCTCTCTTTTTTTGTTTGTTTATTTCAAAATAATGTTAGGAACTGTGGAAAAAGGTCTTGAAAAATAGCCCAAGGTCCAGGAAAATAGTGACCATGACCATGGCTGCAATTCCTCAAACAGGCAGGTCCTAGAAAGTGTTGGCTAAAGGAAGGGATCAAAAGAAGGACCATGGACCACTGGGCACTCCAGGTCTTACCCCCACAGCATCCCTAGTGACTGTTCACACTCTCTGTCCCTGTGTGCACACTAATGGAAACAAAATAGTCCAAGAGGCCAGGGTCATACAAAGGCAGGGAGCTCAATCCACAGTCATCACTTAAAGGACACTTACCCGGACCAGCCTCCTGGGTCTCCTCAAACGGTAATAGGAGCAAGAAATAAACATAGATGCTAAGCCATGGGGAAATGAGGGCTATTTGTCATAACAGCCAGCATTAACTACCCTGACTAGTAAAGCAAACCAGTTCACCTCTTGGAGCCACAGTTTCCACAACTATAAGTAGGGATGATGTAGGGAGATTTAATGAAATAATGTATGTGGAAATATTTGGCACAGACTTGGGGCTCAACAAATGCTGGTTAAAAAGCAAAAAGAAGAAGGAAGAAGGGAGAAGGAAGGAAGGAAAAGGAAGAAGGAAGAAGAAAGAAGAAGAGAGGAGGAGGAAGAAGGGAGGTGGAGGGGGGAAAGGGGAAGGAGGAGGAGGAGGAGGAGGAGGAGAACCATGGATCTGGACACACTGCCCTGGCCAGGGAGGGGGCAAGCATGGTGGACGGCATTAGGCTCACGGCATCCCGTCCCTATGAGAAGAGTTCAGAGCAGCAGGTATTGGGGCTGCAGCAGAGAGAAGAGGGCAGGGCCTGGGGTCCACAGGGGAGCATGTGGGGTCCACAGAGCAGCCTCTGGGAAAGGAGGGGGAGGCAGGGCAGAGCCTAGTCCACGTCCCGGTGAGACGGTGAGAGTCTTACCCAGAGAGGATGCAAGGGCCAAGTTCTCCAGCATCACCTCGTGGTACAGGCGTCTCTGAGCCTCGTCCAGGAGCCCCCACTCCTCCAGGGAGAAGTACACGGCCACGTCGTCAAAGGTCACAGGGTCCTGTGGAGATGGGGACAGAGGAAACCATACAGTTAGTCTTTCTGAGACCCTCACAGTCCACCCCTCACACACCTTCCCAGGCTGCTCCTCTTCCAGGGAGGCCTCCCTCCCAGGAGACACCAGGCCCTGGGGACCCTGACGTTGGCTCACTTATTAGGGTTCCATAATGACTGTAATTATCTTTTATTTTTAAAATATATTTTACTGGCCCTGACAGGTTTGGCTCTGGATAGAGCGTCGGCCTGCAGACTGGAAGGTCCCGGGTTCGATTCTGGTCAAGGGCATGTACCTTGGTTGCGGCCATATCCCTAGTGGGGGGGCGTGCAGGAGGCAGCTGATTGATGTTTCTCTCTCTTCGATGTTTCTACCTCTCTATCCCTCTCCCTTCCTCTCTGTAAAAAAATCAATAAAATCAATTAAAAGCCTTACAAAAATAGAATAAATAAATAAACAACATTTTACAGATCAGCAATACTGGAACAAAAACAGAAGAAAAAAGAAAATCTCTCTCTTTTTTTGTTTTTTTGTTTGTTTCTTATTTCAAAATAACGTTAGGAACTGTGGAAAAAGGTCTTGAAAAATAGCCCAAGGTCCAGGAAAATAGTGACCTCAAACAGGCAGGTCCTAGAAAGTGTTGGCTAAAGGAAGGGATCAAAAGAAGGACCATGGGCCACTGGGCACTCCAGGTCTTACCCCCACAGCATCCCTAGTGACTGTTCACACTCTCTGTCCCTGTGTGCACACTAATGGAAACAAAATAGTCCAAGAGGCCAGGGTCATACAAAGGCAGGGAGCTCAATCCACAGTCATCACTTAAAGGACACTTACCCGGACCAGCCTCCTGGGTCTCCTCAAACGGTAATAGGAGCAAGAAATAAACATAGATGCTAAGCCATGGGGAAATGAGGGCTATTTGTCATAACAGCCAGCATTAACTACCCTGACTAGTAAAGCAAACCAGTTCACCTCTTGGAGCCACAGTTTCCACAACTATAAGTAGGGATGATGTAGGGAGATTTAATGAAATAATGTATGTGGTCCCGTTCGCTCCAATCGCGTGCGCGCGCTCGCGAGGCCAGCAACTGGCGGGTGCAGAGGAGACCGGAAGTCCCACCCCCAGGACGCACGCCAGGAGACGCCCTATCAGGATGCCAATGGCTCGGTTCGCGTGGCCTTCTGGGTAATGTAGTTCCTAGCACACTCTCCTCCGCCCACCGTCCCTGTCCCACCCCCTGGACGCACGCCAGGAAACGCCCTATAAGGAGGCCAATGGCCCGGTTCGCGTGGCCTTCTGGGTAATGTAGTTCCTAGCACTCTATTCCCCAGCCCCGCGGACTCCTTTCACCGCGTCACAGGCACCTCCACCCTCACCGGTGTCCGTGCTCACGGCGCCAGGTGACTCACACGCTCCACACCGTCGGC